TTTGGCTGCATGAGGTCCTTACTGTTACAAGAATGCTTCATCCTAACCGACCCGGGGGGGGGGGGGGGGGTTTGTCGGCCAGAAAGGAACTGGTTCCCGGGAGTGGCTGTCCTGAAATTGAGATCAGACATTCTAAGGTGGATTTCCATGCTGGTCCTTTTTATTTTAGTGTTCATCATGTCCTTTTAGATTTTATTTCTATTTGAAAATATTGATCGCATGTTTAACAAATAATTCTAATTTTGCTGTACAATTATGGTTATGATCTTGTTGTTCCCTTCAGAGTTTTACAGGCAGCACTCCCACCGCCCTGGTGGAAGGCCTTCCCGAAGCTCTGCAGAGGCAGTTTGAGTGTGAAGACCCTGCTGTGCGAGGGGCAAGCAGCTGCTGCACTGCTCGCTCTTCAAGGTGACACGCGACTTGTTTTGAAGCCGTGGGAGAGCCACACACAGGCTGTCAAGGGCCGAGCATCCAACATCAGGCATCCCTGGGGATGGGGAGCTGCTGCTGGAGTTGAGCATGAGAACCTCTGGGAGTGACCGAGTGGTCTGAGGGGCAGTGGACTCTCAGATGCCCTGACGGAGGCAGCAGGGTTGGTAGCAGTTGTTGGTGCTGAGGTCCTGCGGTCCGGTGCACCCCTAGGAACTGGGTGGGAACAGTCCCCATCCCTGGTGATGCTCAGATCCTTGCTGTGTGCGCGGCAGTCAGCCTGGAGCAGGAGTTCTGAGGGGGGACCCTCAGAGCCTGTGCTGGGGCTGTCTTTGGTGAATGTTGGTCGTGTCGCTGAGTGGCCCTGTGTTGTTCATTTTCAGTGATCACAGGTGCTGGCAGCTCTTGCTTGTGACCTGGAACTAGACGCTCTCCCTTGCTGCACGGAGATGCACAGGCGGGCCTGGTTCCAAAGGTACCACCTGGCCTCCCGTGTCACTGTGGCCCTGAACCGGAGAGCGCCTTTGCCCTGCCTGTTTCTCAGTGAGGTACTTCACATTGCTTAGGAGTGACTTTTGGAATGCAAAACGTTTTCTTTATTCAGCCATATGTAAAAAGATAGCAGTATTATGAGACACAGTGACATTCCTCTTGCCAGGAAATACCAGAAAGAAGAAAAAGCATGTTGGTGAAAATGAGTAAACTGACACTGCAAATTTCAGTTT